CAGACACTCACTCTGAGAGCAGCAAGCAGCAGTACAAGCTAAAAACACAGAGAGAAAGTCCAGAAACCTTATTTAAAGACTGCAGCCTAATTAAAGGGAAAAGCACCATCACCAACCTGCTGTTCTACACTGAACACACAGACATGTGGCATTCAGTTGTCTGTAAAAATTACAAATATATAACGAAGCGTGGAATCTGCAAAGGTAGACAGATTTGTATCTTTGAAGACTGTGAAAAAATCCCAGAAAGCAGATTCCTAACAGTCAACATGTATCAGAATGGGACAGTCTTGGTGCAAGGAAGCGAAGCTGCACTGAAACAGTTTGAGGAAGCCTTCCCATCCCTCAAAGAGCAGTGTGAAAGAGAGAGAACAGTCATCACTCCTCAAACACACAGTAATGATGGAGAAATAGAGCCCCCCCACATCCACCCCACTTCTGCAAAAGACACAGTCCCCTCAGCCTCTTCCCCAAGTCCACTCCTCCACACCACCATAGCACAGCTCAGAGACAGCCTCTCCCTGCTGGAGGTAGAGCTAGTAGGACTGAAGGAGCAGATACAGACCCACATGTCCACCAGCTCCCACACTGAACCCCTCAGAGACCAGCTCAGCCAAACCAAACACCAGCTGAAAGTGACAGTGCAGGAGCTGAGGAGAAACATAGATAACATGCTTGAGGACAGGGACTCACTAAGAAGAGAGCTAGCAGAGTACAAGGAAAATGCTAAAAGGGAACTTGCAGACCTGAAAGAGGAGCTAAAAAGAGAGTTGGTAGGCCTCAGACAGGAGATACACCACAGGGACACCATCATAGAGATCCTCAAAACACAGCTACAGCCTCAGACTGCCCTCCAGAACACTGCCCACACTGAGCATGCCCAACCTTCTCCAACCCCAACAGAGCCCGCTCCTAGCAACACTAAACCAGCCAACACCCAGATGACGCCCCCCACACAAAGAGACCACCCTGCAACAGTCTCAGTCACACCCACAACCCCCCACAAACAGGAAAAGAAACAACAAACAGACAAAACTCTCACCACTCAAACCCAAGACTCACAGACCAGCAGGACTGGTGCACTGCAGAGAGACACTGATGTTGCAATACTCATTGATTCAAATGGAAGATTCCTACAAGAAAAGAAGCTCTTCCCAAACCAGAAAACTCTGAAGATATGGTGCCCAAGAACGAACGATGCCCATCAAATCCTCTCTGACAACATCCTTGACAAGCCTGCCTGCATCATCATCCACACAGGCACAAATGACCTTAGAGCAGAGCAGGAGAGAGTTGGAGGACTGGTCTGCAGAGTAGCACAGAGGGCTGCGGAGACTTTTCCCAGTGCCAAAATCATAGTCTCCACCATCCTGCCCCGAAAGGACTTCCATCCTGCCACCATTCAGAGAGTTAATGCAGATATCTCCAGAGGATGTGCCCTCATCCCCAATGTACACCTGGCTCACCATTCCAGCATAACCCCTTATCACCTCTATGACCATGTGCACTTAAACAGGCATATAGTCAAAGAATTTGCTAAAACACTGAAGGATGTAGCACTGGGTCGACAAACTCACATGACCATCAAACACAGAGGAGAGCACCCAGCAACAGAGAAGCCCTACTACAACCACGCACCCACCAGAAGCCCACCAGCACGCAAACTCCCCCAAAGATCCCAGCCAGGACAGCAACTATGCCAGCACAACCTGCCTCAACCAGTTCAGCGCACCCCACCAGTCAGACCTGCACAACGCCCCTCACAACCCAGAGCAGCACTTCATCACCCAGCAAGGTCACCAACACATCAGAACCAGCCAGACAGCAGAGGTACCAACACCCAACTACTCGGAACTCAGAAACACAGCCCACAGCAGCACCGCAGCTACGCTGATGTCCTCAGAGGAGCACCTGCCACTCAAGACATGGGTGAGATCAAGCAATTATTGCAGTACATCTGCACTAGACTCATATAAAAACTGCACAGGAGCTCCATGAAAGGGAAAACCAAAGAAAAAAAACCCATATTCATTGTACATTGTGCATTACTGTTTTGTATTAAGACTGGCAAATACTGTATAAGAAAAGTTATTTAGATTAATAGGATATTAGTTGTTTTTCACAGTTCATCTCATTTTAAATAGAAAAGAACTAAATTAAAAATAGCCTCACTTTCAGTTAGTTTATGGAATATCCAAGGCTTGAGCTCATCAGCCTTTGGCTTGAAAAGCCTAAATTATGATTTTCAAAACTCTATCAAAGACCTTGACATCATTATCCTACAGGAGACATGGTGCAAGGCTGACACGGTCACTCACTGCCCCAAAGAATACAGAGAAATTATAGTACCGTCCCAAAAGCTGAGTACAGTACGCCAAGGCAGATGCTCAGGAGGACTAATTATTTGGTATAGATCAAATCTACATCAGTACATAGACGTTGTAAAAACAGAAAAATACCTTATTTGGCTTAAAATAAAAAAAAACATAACGTCTTCACACAAGGACCTGTTCCTCTGTGCTGTATACATCCCCCCCTCAGAATCCCCCTACTACTCCGAACACATGTTTTCTGAGTTGGAGAGAGAGGCGTGCCATTTCCAGGCCCAGGGAAATGTGCTGATCTGTGGGGATCTGAACGCCAGAACAGGGACACAACCTGACTTCATACATGCACAAGATCAATTTAACACAAAGAAAATGTCCTTTATTAACAACAATTTTCTTCATCCCCCCAGAAACAATCACGACAACGTAACAAACAGGAATGGAAAAGAACTCCTGCAGCTCTGTCAGAGTCTGGGTCTGTACATCGTCAATGGTAGGACACGAGGGGACTCTTTGGGAAGATACACGTTTTGCTCACCTCTTGGGAACAGCACAGTAGATTATATGATAACAGACTTAGACCCTTTCAATCTCAGTGCGTTCACTGTTAAAGCCCTAACCCCTCTGTCTGACCACAGCCAAATCACTGTGTTCATTAAAAGGACAGAGACTAACAGCACTGCACACACTCAGCCCAGTAAGCTGTACAGCATCAGGAGACCATACAGATGGGCCCAAAACAGCACAGAGGAGTTCCAGAAAGCAATCAGAGACCCCAAAATTCAGACACTTTTAGACAGCTTTCTGGACACCACACACACTCACAGTAAAGAAGGTGTCAATCTGGCAGTAAAGAACCTAAACACAACCTTTGAAAAAACAGCAAAAAAGGCAAAACTGAAAATTAAGAATATATCAAAACCTACACTGAATAAAGAAGACAACTGGTTTGATCAAGAGTGCCAAAATATGCGAAAGAAACTCAGAAAATTGTCAAATCAAAAGCATAGAGATCCAAACAACTCTAACATTCGCCTTCTTTACTGTGAAACTTTAAAGCAATATAAACGTACACTCAGAACCAAAAAGACTCAGTACACTCACAAACAGCTGACACTAATCGAGGAGTCAATCAGAACAAACCAGTTCTGGGAGAACTGGAACAAGCTTAAAAAACGAGACCATGAAGAACTGGCAATACAAAACAGTGATATTTGGACAGATCATTTCAAAACACTCTTCAGCAAAGTAGACTCGAGTACGAATCCTCAGCAAAACCATATAAACAAAAAGCTTGAAGAACTAGAATTGGCTATAAAGGATAATCAGAACCCTTTAGACTCCTCAATTACTGAGCAGGAACTGAAGGAGAACATTAACAAACTAAGACCAAAGAAAGCCTGTGGGCCTGATGGAGTACTGAATGAAATGATAAAAAACTCAACTTCTAAATTTCAATTAGCTATTCTAAAGTTATTTAATCTGGTTCTGAGTGTAGGTTACTTCCCTGAAATCTGGAATCAAGGACTAATAACCCCAATCTTTAAAAGTGGAGATAAATTCGACCCAAACAATTACCGAGGCATCTGTGTGAACAGTAATCTGGGGAAGTTACTGTGCAGCATTTTAAATTCCAGATTTCTAAACTTCCTTATGGAGCACAATGTCTTGAGTAGAAGTCAAATTGGATTTTTACCAAATTACCGCACCACCGATCATATTTACACCCTACACACCCTAATTGATAAATACATCGTCCAAAATAATACCAAAATTTTTGCATGTTTTATTGATTTCAAAAAGGCTTTTGATTCTATTTGGCACCAAGGATTATTCTATAAACTTATAGAAAGCGGTGTAGGGGGTAAAACATATGATCTAATTAAATCAATGTATACAGGAAATAAATGCGGCATAAAAATTGGCAATAAACAAACAAACTCCATCTCCCAGGAGCGCGGAGTGAGACAGGGCTGCTGTTTAAGCCCAACACTATTTAATATTTACATTAATGAATTGGCGAAGATATTAGAGGAGTCCACAGCTCCCGGCCTCACTCTGCACGACTCAGAGATTAAATTCCTGCTCTATGCAGACGACCTGGTTCTGCTGTCCCCCACAGAACAGGGCCTACAGCAGAACCTGGACCTGTTAGAGCAGTACTGCCAGACCTGGGCCCTGGCAGTAAACCTAAAAAAGACAAATGTAATGATATTTCAGAAAAGATCCAGATCTCAGGGAAAACAACACACATTTAGGTTAGGTATGAATAATATTCAGTATTCAAATAGTTACAGTTATTTAGGTTTAAACATCAGTTCTTCTGGAAATTTTAACTTGGCAGTGAATGAACTGAGAGGCAAAGCTCGCAGGGCTTTCTATGCCATAAAACAACAAATTCCTGTGGAAATTCCAATCAGAATTTGGCTAAAAATATTTGAATCAGTAATTGAACCTATTGCCCTTTATGGCAGTGAAGTGTGGGGCCCGCTTACTAATCAGGAATTTCACAAATGGGACAAACATCCGACTGAGACCCTGCATGCAGAGCTGTGTAAAATTATTTTAAAGGTGCACAGAAACGCCACAAACAACGCATGCAGGGCAGAATTAGGCCGATTTCCATTAATTATAAAAATACAAAAAAGGGCAATCAAATTTTGGACACATTTAAAAGACAGCGACCCTCACTCATATCATTATAAAGCCCTGCAGTACCAAGAGTTGAGCAAAGACAACAGTCCCCTCACTCAGCTGGTCCTGAAGCACAGTTCAACACTAACACACACTAACACCTCACTAACACACACTAACACCCCACTAACACACACTAACACTCCACAGGCTCAGGACCAGAACACACTAGGAAACCTAATTAGAGTGAACCAAATTACAAAACAGCTCAAACTGAATTATCTCACCTATTGGGAAACCGAGTCAAACTCACAGAGTAAACTGCAGTGTTATTTGGCCCTAAAACGTCAGTACAGTGTAGCAGATTACCTGAGCACACTGACTGACCCTAAACTGAGGTCCACCTTGACGAAGTACAGACTCAGTCAGCACCGTCTGGCCATAGAGACGGGCAGACACAGGAAATCTTGGCTACCAAAAGAGGAAAGACTGTGCCAGCAGTGCCAGCAGAACAGGCCTGAGACAGAGCTGCACTTTCTGACTGAATGTACCAAATTTACTCAGATTAGAACAGAATTCTTCAGTAAAATCACCAAAACATGTCCTGTATTCGAAAATCTTCCCCCCACAGAGAAGCTGCCGTACGTTCTAGGAGAACATAAAGAGGTCTGCACACTGGCAGCGCAGTACGTTCACACCTGCCACACTCTGAGGGACAGTGAGTGACCACACCATGTCAGAGATTCACACCTATAAACACATACATTCTGCTTATTATTATTATTATTATTATTATTATATTATTATTATTATTATTATAACACCTGCTATATCTGTTATTGCTTTATATCTGTTATTGCTTTATATCTGTTACTGCTTTTTGTATATGTTGTACTTTGTTCTTAATCTCCCAACAAAAGCTTTGGCAATACAAGTGTTAATATTTGTCATGCCAATAAAGCAACATTGAATTGAATTGAGAGAGAGAACACAGAGAGAGAGAGAGAGAGAGAGAGAGAGAGAGAGAGAGGGAGAGAGAGAGAGAGAACACACAGAGAGAGACAGAGAGAACACACACACAGAGAGAGAGAGAGAGAGAGAGAGAGACAGAGAGAACACAGAGAGAGAGAGAACACACAGAGAGAGAGAGACAGAGAGAACACACACACAGAGAGAGAGAGAGAGAGAGAACACAGAGAGAGAGAGAGACAGAGAGAACACACACACAGAGAGAGAGAGAGAGAGAGAGAGAGAGAGAGAGGGAGAGAGAGAGAGAGGGAGAGAGAGAGAACACACACACACACACACAGAGAGAGAGAGAGAGAGAGAGACAGAGAGAACACAGAGAGAGAGAGAACACAGAGAGAGAGAGAGACAGAGAGAACACACACACACAGAGAGAGAGAGAGAGAGAGAGACAGAGAGAACACAAAGAGAGAGAGACAGAGAGAACACACACAGAGAGAGAGAGACTCAGAGACAGAAAGAGAGAGAGAGAAAACACACAAGTTCAAGTTCAAATTTGCTTTATTGACATGACAAACGTACATTTGTATTGTCAAAGCACAACAAAAATGATCTATATATTAAAAGTTAAGAAAGAAAAATATTAAAAAAATAATAATAAAACAAAATATAAACCAAGATTAATATATGATAATGTAATAATTAAGAACAGAAAGTGTTAATCATAAATTAATAATATAAAAGTACATGTAATAATAAAACAAAACCTATTGAATATGTGTGTAGTTTATAATAAAGAAGAGAAAAGAAAATGTTAATAATCAAATGTAGGGAAATATATATATATATATATATATATATATATATATATATATATATATATATGAAGGACATCTATATTACATATGTACATATATAACTGTGAGTAAAGGCTGTGGCGTGGTGGTCACTCACTGTCCCGGAGTGTATGGCACTCGTACACATATCTAGCTGCAGTGGACGCTGCTGGACCCTCTCCTAATATAATCGCTAATTTATCTGTATCTCCCAGCGTCCTGAAGTTCTTTATCTGTTTTTCAAATTGATTAAAATATTTATTTCTAATAGAATCATATTTTGGGCAGTTCAGTAGGAAGTGCACCTCTGTCTCTACCTCACCTGTCCTGCAGTGACCACACACTCTCTCCTCTCTCGCTACCCAGGACTTTTCAAACCTGCCTCTCTCGATGGCCAGGCTGTGGTCACTGAGTCTGTATTTGGTGAGGATCCGTCTCTGCTTCATATCTTGGACAGTAACAAGATATTCAGCCAGTCTGTTTTCCTGTTTTAGGGCCAGAAAGCAGTTCAGTCTGTTTTGTGAGTGAATTTGGTGTTTCCAATGTTCCAGGTAAGTGTTTTTGCGTTGTTTAATAATTTGGTTTACTCTGATTGGTGTTTGGGAAGCAGTGCTGGTCAGAGAGTTTGGGTTGTTGGGGGTCAGTGAGGTGGTCAGTCTCTGTACCAGCTGACACAGGGGACTCTTTTCAGGGTCCAGCTCTTCGTCTTTGAGTGCCTGAAACTGCAGTGTTGTTTTGGGACTCGATTTAAGGTGCATCCAAAATTTCAGTGTTCTTTTTTCAGTGTTCGTGATTAGAGGGAATCGGCTAATTCAGCCCTGCAGGCATTCGCTGGCGTTTTTCTTTGGACATTTAAAATCATTCTGCAAAATTCTGCATGCAGGACTTCAGTGGGATGCTTGTCCCATCTAGTGTAGTCACGATGACTGAGTGGACCCCAGACTTCACTACCGTACAGCGCAGTGGGCAGGACTACACTGTCGAAGATCTTTGTCCAGATTCTGATTGGGATGTTAATCTTGTTTCCTGATTGAATAGAGGGCCCTGCAGGCCTTTTCTTTCAGTGCATTCACTGCCAGACTGAAGCCTCCTGAGGCACTAATCTTTAGTCCCAGGTAATCATAGGAAAGTGTTTGATCCAGGGCGGTGTCTCCTAGATTGAACATATATCTGCTTTCCTGAGATCCGGCTTTCTTTTGGAAGATCATGACTTTAGATTTGTTTGGGTTGACTGTCAGGGCCCAGTTCTAACAGTACTGCTCTAGCAGATCCAAGTGCTGCTGTAGCCCCTTTTCAGTGGGCGATAGCAGCACAAGGTCATCTGCGTAGAGGAGAAATTTAACGTCCGTTTGGTTTAGTGTCAGGCCAGGTGTTGCAGATCGCTCCAGTAACACAGCTAAATCATTAATGTACATGTTAAATAGAGTAGGGGACAAGCAGCAACCCTGCCTGACACCACAGCCTCGAGTGAAGAGATCTGTCATTTTATTGCCAATTTTTATTCCACATTTATTATTGACATACATTGATTTAATGATGTCATAGACTTTACCCCGACACCGACTTGGAGAATTTTGTAATATAAACCTTCTTGCCAAATAGAATCAAATGCTTTTTTAAAATCTATAAAACATGCAAAAACTTTTCTTTTATTTTGTTGGTGAATATGTTGGTTGATTAGGGTGTGTAGGGTGTAAATATGGTCGGTAGTGCACACACAGAACACACAGAGAGAGAGACTCAGAGACAGAGAGAGAGAGAACACACACAGAACACACACACACACACAGAGAGAGAGACTCAGAGACAGAGAGAGAGAGAGAGACAGAACACACACACACACAGAACACACACACAGAGGGGGAGAGAAAGAGACAACACAGAGAGAGAGAGAGAGAGAGAGAGAGAGAGAGACAACAGAGAGAGAGACAGAACACACACAGACAGAGAGAGACAGAACAGAGAGAGAGAGAGAACACACACACACAGAGAAAGAGAAAGAAAGAGAGAGAGAGACAGAACACACACCCAGAGAGAGAGAGAGAGACAGAACACAGAGAGAAAGAGAGAGAGAGAGAGAGAAAGAGAATGTCCTGCTGGTTTTATCTGGTTTAATTCTGTTTTATGTTAAAACTGAATGCAGTCTGAATCAGACGGTCAGCACGACTCACTTTGCTGCAGCAGTGAAGGCCAGTTCCACATTCAGGCCGGACTTTGCGCTGGTCTCCATGAAGGGAACTCCGAACTCCTTTAGAACAAACACAGTAACCCTGATATGCGTGACGTCTCTGATACACGCCGGCTCAGAACAGCGTCACTGAGAAAAACACTCAGCACAAAAACATTAAAACACCAAGAATGAATCTATAATAACATGAACACCCAGAACTCTCTTGTGTTTTCAGCAGTCTTTCGTCTCGCTGCCTCTTCTGAACAACATTTATCTCCTTCACAGCAGCTTTGTGCTGTGTCGCTATGGCGACCAGCTACATAGAGGGGGCGCTATATCTGCAGGGAAAAATGAAGCTGGAACCAAGTTGGGCCGGTACCATGCGGTGGAATGTGGTGGTGCCCTTTGACCCTAAACTATGACCCACAACCTGAAAACCAGATTCACAGATTGTTAATGAAAAAGTACCTTCGCCAGTTTCTCTCCCTCCTCTCTCTTCACCACTCGCTCATGAGTAGAGTCAGCCTGAAACACATTAACAAACAGATTCACTTCATTTCCGTCATCATCTCCATCATCATCTCCATCACCATCATCTCCATCATCATCTCCATCATGATCTCCATCACCATCATCTCCATCATCATCTCCATCACCATCATCTCCATCATCATCATCTCCATCACCATCATCATCTCCATCACCATCATCTCCGTCATCATTATCTCCATCATCATCTCCATCATCATCATCTCCATCATCATCTCCATCACCATCATCTCCATCATCATCTCCATCACCATCATCTCCATCATCATTATCTCCATCATCATTATCTCCATCATCATCTCCATCATCATCTCCATCACCATCATCTCCATCATCATCTCCATCATCATCTCCATCACCATCATCTCCATCATCATTATCTCCATCATCATCTCCATCACCATCATCTCCATCATCATCTCCATCCATGATGTAGCACTGAATCTGTATCATCTACAGAGGAAACTGAGGAGAGAAGAACAGAGGAACATGTTCTACTGTCAGATTCTCACCTTGTT